GGACACATTTACTGACCAAAATTACGCTCCAAAATTAGAATATCATCACGGAACCACCATTAAATTAGCTGCTTCTGACATTTTAAATGCTATTACAGTTGTACTATCAGTAAAAATGTGCGCATCAGAACCGCAGCATGCAGGACTTCCTTGTTTTCTTCTGGATCTGTGGCTCAGTCCCGCCCCCGTCCTTATTTTGTCCAATGGAAGCAATGATCGTCACACTCGTGGCTTTGTTTACAAGTTATAGTTCGTTTGCAAAAAAGCACAATGTGAATGCAAACCGCACCAAACGAAAAAAAAAAGTCCATTTTTGGTCCGGACCAAACAATTGGACCAAAGGACTTTCCTGGTCTGAATACACCCTATGCCACGAAGAATTGAGGCAGTTCTGAAGGCAAAAGGGGGTCCAACCCGTTACTAGCGTGGTGTACCTAATAAAGTGGCCGTTGAGTGTATGTTTAAATCAAATAAGCAAAAGAGGATGCAGTTAAAATAAGTAAAAGGTATTCAAGCTACGTTTTGAGCATCCAAAACGTGTCCAAAACTTCAAGTTAACTGCTTGTGCTCTTTCAGGTCAGACGAGTTCGGACTGTCGGGAAGCTCCTCTGTTGTTTTCCTCTGCAGGTCTCTGTTTAATGGTGGATGAAATAAAGAAAGTGGCGGTATTTTATTTACTTTGAGCAAGTGAACACCGTGTTCACAAGATAATTAATCCACCAGATAATTCAGAGGCGGTCTGTTCGGCGAGTTTTACTCCAGGAGCTGCGAGGCTTTCAAGCTACGTTCAGACCGAGCTCTGCCTCTGTTTACTGTCTGAACCAGCTGCTGCTGACGTCATTACGCTCTTGCGCCATGCTGCGTTCAGGACAAGCATGGAAAACCTCTTTACTTTTATGCCAACACGGTCACAATGATGCATTTAGGTACCGAAACATGGTACCGTTTGATGTTACGTGAATAGGTACTCGGTAGTACCGACAGAATTTGGTCAGTACTTATAAAAGTATCAAATTCGGTACCCATCCATAATCCCAGTAGAAGTCATGTTATTTACTTCTGTTTAGTTTTTTGATAAAATCTATGATTTTTTTGTAAAAGTTATGATCATTGAAGAGAGATTTACATATCAGGGCCTAATAAAACTGGTCTGGTGTTTTTCAGGTTTGAAAATTATTCACATCTAACCTCAGGAGAACTTAAACACTCAACAAGTTTTATCTTGTCATTTATTAAACAAAAAATTAAGCCAAAAGTGGAGAAACTGGTTCCACTATGTCAATATTTCATGAACAAAACTGCTTTCAGCTTTGCTGCTCCCAAAGGATCTCAGAGGTCCAGGATCAGATTAACCCTCATCAGTGGGACCAGCTGTAGAAAAGCTGCTCTGAGGCATACAGATGTGTTTTAATACAACACCCAGGTGGGAAGACATCAGCAATGACCTCTGAGAAGCAGCTGTTACTCCTGTGGATTCAAACAATCAATCGAGCTGCAATTAACTTTCAAAAAATGGTTTATTAGATTAAAATTTGTTTCAATTAATTAACTGTTAACATCACTTACACGGACCAGAAAAATAGAGTATGCCCTGTCTGGGAAGTAGAAACTTCCATCTTTAAAACAGTTTTTAACTTGTGATAATAGGCCAAGTAGAATTGAAGTTATGATAATAAACACCTTTTTTTCTTAAAATGACGTCTACTTTGATGCATTTTAAGTCACGAGCAAGAAACACAGTCACATGGGAAAAAACACTGCAATCTTTCATCAGTTTCCTCTCTCTAGAGCCAAAAAAATAAAAACCCTTTGATCTTTTTAACTGAATGAGGCCCAAAGTTATTTGTCAAGTAGCAAAAACTCTACAGAAGGATGAAAATAAAATGACACAAAAGTTGAATGAAGTTTGGCGGCTATGAAGAGACAGCAAGAACGGGAGAAAATAATTATGTATGTGATATTTGTAGCACTACAAATGTTTGGATTTTACAATTAGGGTGTAGTTCAGTGTCTATAGTCTTTAATAATATAAATATACATATAAACATATGTATAAATTAATAAAACATGAAGTTTAATGAAGATATTTGTCTCCTTATTCAATAAAACATTAGATTTAATAGCTATTTGTCTCATATAAACTAATAAAACATGATGTTTAATGAAGATAATTGTCTCATAATTTAATAAAACCATGTTTAATGAAAATATTTGTTTCATAATTTAATATAACATGAGGTATAGTGAAGACATTTGTCTCATAATTTAAGAAAACGTGAGATTTACTGGATATTTGTCTCATATAAATTAATAAAACATGAAGTTTAATGAAGATATTTATCTCATAATTCAATAAAACATGAGATTTAATAGATATTTGTCTCATATAAGCTAAGAAAACATGAAGTGTAATGAAGATATTTTTCTCACAATTTAATAAAACAAGGTTTAATGAAGATATTTGTTTAATAATTTAATATAACATGAAGTTTAATGAAGATATTTGTCTCATAATTTAAGAAAATGAGATTTAATGGATATTTGTCTCATATAAATTAATAAAACATGAAGTTTAATGAAGATATTTATGTCATATAAACTAATAAAACGAAGTTTATTGAAGATATTTGTCTCATAATTTAATAAAACCAGGTTAAATGAAAATATTTGTTTCATAATTTAATATAACATGAAGTTTAATGAAGATATTTGTCTCATAATTTAAGAAAATGTGAGATTTAATAGATATTTGTCTCATAAATTAATAAAACATGAAGTTTAATGAAGATATTTGCCTCCTAATTCAATAAACTTGTGTTGTTGTGTTTCAGGTATTGAACTGAAGCATCTCTGCCTGGAGTACATGACACCCTGGCTGCTGAACCTGGTCCGCTTCTGTAAACACAATGATGATGCCAAGCGCCAGCGTGTCACCGCCATCTTAGACAAACTCATTACCATGACCATAAACGAGAAGCAAATGTATCCTTCCATCCAGGCCAAGATCTGGGGCAGCCTGGGCCAGGTGAGTCTACAGACCGTTTGCTGAAGGAGACCCACATAGAGGAGCTTTTGACCTGAAAGTCTTGTTCTGTGTTTAGATCACAGACCTGCTAGATGTGGTTTTGGACAGCTTTATTAAAACCAGCGCTACAGGAGGACTAGGCTCCATCAAAGCTGAGGTCATGGCCGATACTGCAGTGGCTCTGGCTTCAGGAAACGTCAAACTGGTCTCCAACAAGGTAACACAGTCTGAACTGTTACATGGGGGACCGTCCCACCTTCAAAACACCAGCTGCTTACTGCTCGATGCTCATATTTACAATAAAATACAGATGCTCGATATTGAGTTGTTGTAGATATTCAATATGCCAATATTGTTCAACACTTAATTTCTGATTCCGATATTAACCAATATCACAAACCAATATTAAGGTGACATCTAATAATCTACCTAATTTCCCTCTGGGATCAATAAAGTATTTTTGAATTGAATTGAATCACATTCTGTCAGAGACATTCTGCCTGCTTTTACTGTGATACCCCACTAGATGCATTCCAAAGGGAAACATTGTACAAAACAAAAACCATTTCACTGAAGTTATGGAAAAAGTGCCATATTTATTTTTAACATTTTGTCTCAAACAATAGTTTGGATCATGCTCTCCCTGAGAAAATCCAGTTTATCATCAGTCATGCACCGGTGAACATCTCTGGACCACAAGCATGTATTAACACATTTTGGTCAAATCCAGGCATTAATTTATCTGGCTTTTGTTATCAGAAGATAAACTGATCCAGATATGTAGAGATTTTATATTTTTATGCTAATTTCAGACGGATAATATCTGTAGGCCCATATTATCAGAGAGATTAAAATTTGGCATTGAAAAGCATTAAATTTTATTGGCTGAATTCTGCAGAAACCCTGTTTAAAACTGTTTTACTAAACGAATGTCTTCACCAAAACTTCTGTTTGTGTGAACTGGAGATTTAAAACTATCTGATGAGTAGATAGAGTCCTTCTAACACATTACAAGCTTTTACATATTAAAAAATAGAAACACCCAGTAAACATCTAATCTGATTAAGAGTAGAAGAATAAGTTTTAAAAACAATTATTTTCTATGAAACTAGTGTCCAGTCCAGGTCTAGTTTGTGTCTCAGACTCCTCAGTAATTCTAATTTTTACTTACGTTCTGTAAGAAGAGCTGTAGATCCGTCTGACTCAAAGAAACTCCGTGTCCATCATCTGTGGCTCCAAACTCAGCTGGTTCCTAAAATAAACACAACATCCAGAGGCAGATACAAAAGAAAAGCCAGGGCCTGGCTCCGATTATGACACACAGCAGTTGTGTGTTGAATAGTGTCTTTGTGAGGACCGTGGATGAAGAAATGACGGGCTGTGTTTAACTTGGAGCTCTGCTCCCTTCACTCATCCAGAGTGGATTCACCAAGTGCTTCTCTGCATTGGACTGAAAGTCTCGAGGTTGCAGCTGTAAGAAAGTGTTGGACTGTATATGAGTCTATATGCTGCTGTTAGGATCTGCTGGGTTTCAGCAGGACCAGCTCCTGAGGACAATGGAGCCTTGTCTGCTGGGATTGAACTCTTTGTCTCCCAGGATCTGAATAAAACTGTTTTCTAACTGCTTAGAATAAATTACGTGTATCAGCTCGGACAATGTCACAGGTATTGAGCTAAAATGAGTATTTTAGTGGCTGAGAATCATTCAAAACAATAACACTGAGCACTGTATGTTGTTCATCTTTGATTCAAACTTTGCCAATAAGTGTTAGTTAATGCCGTCTGTCTGTTAGCAAAACATCTCATGAGCCACAGGACAGATTTAGTGAAGGTCTCAGTAAGTAATCATTCATCTACAACTGATTAAGTTTTGGAGTTAACATAATACAAGATGACCACAGACCCAAGCAACTGTGATAAACACAAAAATGCCTAAAACACTGTAAGATCTACAGATACTGGGTTAACATTAGGTGTGGTAGTAGCTAACCATCATCCCTAAAACCTTCTCTAAGCTTCACATGTTCTGTGATATGTTTTCAAAAGCTAAACCGAAAGAAGGAAGTTTAGTTTGATCAACTAAAATTAAACCTCTACACTTCTGCTTGACACGTTTTAATTAATCGCTTATTTCTCAAACAACATCCGTGCCGCTAACACTGCCTAATATTAGCTGATGTAGTGTTCTTACACATCTGATAGCTGATTTAAGAGTTGTTTTTAAAATCATCTTAAAATGACTAGATTATCCCTTTGACTGCTGTCACTGCACCTCTACAACTGATTACGTTTTGTAGTCGATCAAATTCCAGATCAGTGGCTGTTTCCACATCCTGTCGGCCGCTTACATCACTGCGCCATGCCGTAGACTCCTCCAGTTGTGGTCCACAAATGTGTCATCCTTTTGCCCCTGAAGAAATTTATAATTATTATAGATCAGTACTGATGCCAGAAACAACACCAGTGTATATAAGGGTGTCTGATTATAACATTGTTATKGTTACCTATTATGTGTTAATTAAAATAGAGTAGATACATGTCCGAATTATTAAACAACACATATAAATAAGGTAAAGCTGTAATTATATACAGTGGTTTGCAAAAGTATTCATACCCCTTGAACTTTTCCATATTTTGTCACATTACAACCACAAACATAAATATATTTCACTGGA